ATTATAATTGTCTTGCTGTCATTATTCCTAAAGGAAATCCCCATTCATTTTTTATGTGAGGGAAATTAGGATAACACTCACTCTGGTTGTTGGACATTAGCGTTGTTACCATTTCCTACGTTACTTTTTCCTTTATAGAAGAATCAACTATTACCAAAATACATTACAATCTACTGCTATTTTATGGGGTAAGAACCCAGCTAAGATTTAAAATACATTAATATTAGTAAGCGTAATTTAGATTATTTATTACAGGTTAGATTTAATATAGAAAAAAATTTTTTTTATACATATAATGATGTACAACATTATGTATATAAAAAATTAGATATATTTTACAAAGGCAAAATATAATAGTATCCCTATATTTATTTATGCACATTATTGAAACCGATTTGAATATTACTTGCTTAATTACTAAAAGAAAAAAAAACCCAATGCATTTAGTTTTCAATTTTTCATGACAGAAAAATTCAGTATTGTAAACGTAAAAAAACCACAGGTTTCGGGTCCAGGCGGTACTATGTATGTTTGTAGTGATTCGGAATCCACTTTAAACCGTTGGTGTCGATCTCATATGGCTGTTGGGCATAGGGCTGACAACACTACACCATAAAAAAGAAAAACATCTCCTGTCTCGTAAAATCAGCCCACCAAAAAAAAAATATATAAATAAATAATTTTTTTAAAAAATGTATGAAAATTTACAACATAAAAGCTTATACATACCAAAAGTATATTCAATAAATTTTATCTTCCTTTGTAAAAACCTCGTAGTTTAAAGATACTTTTCGATGAGAAAGGAAAAATGTAATATCGACACTATTTATTTACTTGTGCTCATTATTAAATATCAAGTTCGAATCCTGGCTGTGTCATGGATGTTTGTTAGTGGGTCGGAATCCACGTTAAACTGTAGATTCCGGTCTTATTAGCCTAAAGTGTGCAAAAAAAAAAAAAAAAAAATGATCGTAGAACAACAAACCAAACCAATCACAAAAATTAGCCCTAGTTTTCATGAAACTGATACACAATTTTTTTTAATCGCGCAAAGTTAGAAAAGTAATAGGAATAAAAAAAATTTTTTTTTCAATGTCTTTAAAGGTATTAACTGTAACTGTAGTTGGTATCTATCTTTGATGTACAATGCTCATATCATCGGCCACTTAGGCATCAAGGTCATCCAGGCGAGTTTTGGAACATTTAATACTGTGCACAGTTCTCCGAGTTGCGAATCAGGTTTCCTCTCCCCCCGCCCCAGAATAAAAAAAAAAAAAAAAAAAACTCAAGTAGTTAATTATCGTTTGGAAAAAGGTGTTGCATAAAAAGAATCTCCTCTGCTGCTGCCATTAGTTGAGTAACCCCTAATGGGTCAGTTCCAAGAAAGCGATAATCGTTTGGCAGCAGCAGCAGACGATTGCAGGGCGGCCGAGCGGGGTGTCATGTGCCAGCGAGCACCGGTTTCGTCACCGGAGCCAGACTTCCGCCCCCGACAAAAGCACCGTTTCGGGCTGAGTTGTCAGCCGCAGGAAGCTCCTAATTGAAAGGCCATCACTGGGTCGGTGGGTCAGAGAGAAAGTGCGCATCTTCATGGCTGGCGCAATCCTCCGGGGTTGCGACATCCCTTCCACCCCCCCTTTCATTTCAAGACCAGAATGAATGGAATAAAATATTCCAGAAAGATATTTTTCTCTTAGTTGCAACTGTGATAAAAGAAAAGACAGGGCTTAAGACTGTCCTTCAGGCGGGAGTTCTTTGTACAGTGGACAGCAAAATTTCTCAATAAGCTCTAAAATATGGTGAATCCTTTTGCTGCTCGGTTTTCGTCAATGGCGTTATTTTTATTTTGAGAAGTTTTGTCGATAAAGAATGGAAGGATTTTGATGAATTAAGAATAGATTGAAAAAAAAATCTTATATGCATTACATAATGTCATTGTAATATATCATATCCTTATGAGACTAGAGCAATCTCACTTGCAAAGTTGTCTTATAACTGTCTAAAATTTCAATATGCAAAAGCAATTAAAAGTAAATGAAATTAAAAAACTAGCAATAAATAAATTACTTGTAATTATCAAGCACTCTGAATGTTAAATATAACTGGTTTGGTTTGTCGCTCTATGGTCATTTTGCGCATACGAGGGCTAAAATGACCGGGACATACAGTTTAAAGTGGATTGCGAACCACTCACAAACATCCATAGCACCACCGGGTTTCGAGCTCGAAACCCGACGATGCTATGGTGGTATGCACCGGCGATACTAAGCGGCAGCGCCAGCCACGCGGCTATCTGTCCCCCAGATTTAACTAGAGTTTAAATTATAATAATACGCTTACGGATGCGATGGCTGCATTTAATTGGAGTTAAACTTAACGCTACTTTCATCTCTACCTAACGCTGAGGTCAAGTACCTCCGTTAAAAATTAAGCTCTAATAATAACGCTTTAATTACGAAGAATTAAATTTAACTTTGAATTAAAATTAACACTATTCCCAATGCCATCTGACTCAAAATTAGAGTAGCACCGTTAAAATCAACTGTTAATTCTTGCTTTCATCATCTGAGTGGTTCACCAGTTCGCGTCAAAGTAGTTAAATTACGTTAATATTAGCTATACTCCATTTTTCAACATATTATTGATTCGACTGCTAATGCGAGGAACATTTCCACTATTATAGGATGTTTAAGTATTGCAGAATGGACCTGATGAGATCATCACCATCATCATCAGTGGTGTAAAAGCAGATTTCGAGACAGGAGATGTTTTCTTTTTATGGGGTAGGTTTGTCAACACTACGCCCAACACATCCATATTAGACCATCCATATTACCGACGTTTTAAATTAGATTCCGGACCACTAAAAACATCCATGGCACCGTCGAGACTCGAACCCGAAATCTGTTGCACTGAGTGCAAGAGCGCTACTTACTCAGCCATCAGGCCCGGACCTAACGAGATACAAGTTAAAACGGAGGGGGCGAAGGAAATTAAGAAAAATTTATTAAGAAGTTTTTTATATTTATTTTTATTTTCATTATTTATTTATATTTATCATTAAATGATTGAGCAATTGTTGGGATAGCTGGAGTGGAATTTTGTGACGGAATTTGTTGATGATGCAAGTAAGCCAAGTTACTGCGACGAATGTAGAAGCGAAGATGTAGAACCCATTTTGTAGTTGTCTGAAAGAATTTACGTCTTTCATTACCATAAGCCAAGACGGTTTGTGCCAACGTGACAATGATTTGGAGGAGGAGTACGATTATGCTGTTGAATAAATTTCCGGATAACTTGGAGATATGTTCGACGTTGAGATCTTCGTGAATATCTGGTATACCGAGTAACATTTGCGATGATTCTTAGAATATTTTTTATTTGAAGCACTTGTATTCTGTTTCGATTGGTACTGGAAGACTATACCCAAAACCAGGGGTGGCCAACCCGCGAACGTTTTTCTGGACAGTGAGATTTATCACACTTTTGCAAAATATATATTTATTTTATAATGGCCAAAGTAGTGAAAGCCAATGTATTAAAAAAATACAATATGTGTGCATCCATCTATTCAAAATGAACTGCCGATATGATGAGAAAAAATTAACTTTGATTTTAAAATAACATTTTTGCGAATGTAGGACAGATATTACCTGTTTAATTTATGAGTTCGCAGAATAATTAAATTATATTCTGCCAACTCACGATGAGTGGCGAAACAAATATCGCACTAGTAAAATAAATATTTTTTAATGATTTTATTTCGTTTATATTAATATATTTTTTTATATTTCATTTTCAGTGTCGTATATTTCTTTACAATGTGCTTTTAGTATCATTATTATTATATTATCTATGTTTAAATAATAGTAAGGATAATAACAACAACTCGTTATGCTACAATTTTTCACTCCCAAAAAATGTCTATGGTGGGTCTAAATCTAATAGGGCGATTCATAATTTTATATGCGGCCCGCGACTTTGTGATGCATTTCCAAAATGGCCCGCAAGATTATTTGGGTTTTTCACCCTGATTTAAACATAAGGTCGCATACATTAGAATAGACGGGGAAGGGGACTTGCTTATTGAAAAGGACTGTGTATAAAGAAGTAATATTGATTACATTCCAATGAGGTGAATCTTCTTTCAAAATTTGTCTTTGATGCATTTCATACGACTTCTATAGATGAGTATGTTGTTTAAAGAGAGTCCAAGGAATTTTACTTTGACCTTACCTATCAGTGTTCATCGAAAAAGATGAGTGACCTTTCCTAAAATACGATGGTTCTGTATTTATTAGTATTGAAAGATTTTTTTTTCTTCTAATGCAGTTGGCAAATAGATCGCGATCTTTTAAAATACAACTGATTAGGGTAATCTGTCAGTAGGACAAATATGACACGAATATATTATCATATCTATTTAAAGGTGTATTGGTACCGGGGAACGAGTGTAACTTGATGGTAAGTCCAGGGTTCGAGTCCCTGTTCGCGAATAACAATGCCCCTGAACAATTAACAGGGAAAAAACCTTTCTTTTTATCACGATCCTGGTAGGACCGGGACCTACAAACATAGCGAATTCGAACCAATACAACATATTGTATTTATTTTATTCCCATGGGCAAAGCCATAATAATTTGACGTTGTGTTTAAGAAATAACAATTGAAATAAAAATAACCTGTGGTACCGAACGTCAGAGAGCTAGCAATTCGGCCATCTTTTACCCCTAGTATTGAAAGATGTACACCAAGTAATTAGATTTAAAAGGAAAGGAAATTATTCTACAAGATTGTCTAAAAAATAAAACGGGAAATTCCTTTTAATTATATTGGTGAACAAAAATTTTTAATTATCCACACCCCACTCGTAATGTAGTCATAATAAAATACAACTGATTAGAGCTTCGTAATCTAAGTCAGTAGGACAAATATGATACGAATATATCGAATATATCACATCTATTGTAAAAAGGTCAATTTTGGTATCTGATGAACGAGCCCGGATAGCTCAGTTGGTAGAGCGTTAGGCAGAATTTTTAACCTAACGGTCCAGGGTTCGCAGTCCCTGTTCGGGCGAATACTTTTTCTACCTCTTGATATTATATTTCGAAACAGAAAGCTAATACATATTTTCTATACGAACAATTAACAGGCTTTGTACAAAAAAAAACCTTTCTCTTTTTATCACGATATTTGGAATTATCAAGAGAAATGTTATCACAGTAAATAACATTTTTTATTGTTTGCTTAAAAAATTCATAAAAGCAAACTTGTGTATGATGGAAAGTATTTTAATGCTTTTTTTTATCTGTGCAGAAAAAGATTCCTTATATAATAAATAAAATTTATTATATTTCTATCTAATGAATTTGTAAAAGAATACAATATAAAAATTAATATCATTATTGAAACATAATTTTTTTTTTGAATATGTTTTGCTTACTGCTAACTTTTTCTGGAAAATTCGTAAATTATTTTTTTGTTTGCTTAAAAATTCATAAAAAAGCAAACTTGTTTATGATAATTAAATTACGTGAAAAAAAAAGGATATAATAAATAAAATTTATTATTATATTTCTATCATTTTTAATGTAATAGTCACTATCAAATAGAAAGATGCATTTAAATTATTGTCTTTTTTATTTATTTATTTATTTTCTTGTTTTTTTTTTTCTTCTTAACCTAAAATTCAAGATTTCTTGCGTGAATTTTGGGAAACACGAGATCTCATTTCTAGATTTGCATAGTTCAGGATTTCCAACTTATCCAGTGGGTCCCAAATTCATGCAAGATTTCTTGCATAAATTTTGGGACACCCTTTTATATATATATATATATATATATATATATATATATATAATCAGTTTCGTTTTGCTAATTTTTGATACAAATGAAACTCATTATATATTGAGTATTCGAATATTTTGCGCGCTTTTACCAAAATATTACACCAAAATTTTTTTAAAGTATCAAAATCAGAAATTAAGATACGATATCAGAATTATAGAACGAAGATAAAAAATAATTTTTAAATCATTATTTCGCTGATTACAACTAGATTTACACTACACAGGTCGATTACAACTGTGAGGATGCGTGGAGATAGTTACTGCAATTAAGGAAAACGATGATAAAAGCTATGCTCTATCAATATATCACACTCATTTTTAAAAAAGCATTTGCAATTGTGAGAGAAGTTTTATCTACGTTAATAAAATTACTGAGGAATATATAAAAAAAAATTATTGTTGTACATTTATTGGTTGGTTTTAATACAATCAAGAAATGTTCAGACCGAAGTAAGTAAAGATTTTAACAAGTAAAATTTTTTATACATTACTTTTTTTTTTTTGTGAATGTATTTGCAACAGCATTAATATGCATGCCAGCGTATGATGTGACGTCAACGATAAAGAGCCAATAAAGTATCAGTGCATGGGTATAACTGTGCCGCCTTCAATTGGTACTATATATTGAGTGTGTCTGCTGGTATTGGAATGTTAGAAGCTAATTGTAAAAAATATGTGGGAATGTATTTTGATGAGCGTAATATGAGTTGTAGACACAAGAGCCTGAATGGCCGAGTGTCTGGCGCTCGGATGTCACAGGTTTCGGGTTCGAGTCCCGACGGTGCCATGGATGTTTGTAGTGGTTCAGAATCCACTTTAAGCCTAGGTCTTAATCCCCTTTAAGCCATCACAAGCTCAATCACACCTCTTCTCACCCACATCATTCCCAAACTATAAAGGGGCAACTTAGCTCTAGGCAGATTGATGTGGTGTGGTGTAGTAGTAGTTTCAAAAGTAAGTCGCCTTCTGGGATAAATCCGTTTCTACGGCGGGGAAATAACTATCAGCATTGGCAGTAAAAGTGACAACAAATATAACTCTATGAATTCAATAAAATCAGTAACCCGCATTCAACGTAGTCCCGCATCTACCGTTTCCTCATAATACCTCGCAAGAAACGACAAATCCAGGTTCAAACACTATTACTGTTTATCTAGGCCAGGGTTCTCCAAACTTTTCACCCTTCGGGCCATATTGCTTATTCCAGTAAGTACCAAGGGCCAAAACCATTTTAATTTTTCTGCCGTTATGTATGATTTCTAGACTAGTCGCCGAGTACATACTCTGAGGGAGCAGGTTTATGTTCGATTCAGGATATATACATTCAAACATCGATATACATACTCTTTACCCCAACATAACTACCGAGGGTAACCGCGGGATGTTCACTAGTGTGTTCATGTTAGTGGGATTCATTTCAACTATTTGTTAGTTGTTATGCTTGAGTTACATTTTCTGAGTATTATGCTTGTCATTAAGCTTTACGTGGCAAATAAATAAAACCAAGTTTGTCATTAGGCATGAAAAAAAAAAAAATATAAATAAAAAAAAAACAATAAGCTATTCGCCGTCGCGGGCCGGATTGATGACACTGGCGGGCCGGATTTGGCCCGCGGGCCGTAGTTTGGAGACCCCCCTGATCTAGGCCGTCAAGGTAAGTTTTCCTAGTCCAGTGTTCCCCCTGTTCCATCTCAACAAGACGTCGAATCCACAAAGCAACTTTTACTGCTAAAAAGAATGCGTAATCGAAATAAATTTCAACCCCAAAGGTCCACAGCAATAACAGCAGAACAATCGCTCCTTCCACTGCTGCTTACACACCTGCAACAGGTTGTAGGGGAGGGGTTGACTGCGGGAGATCATCGCTATTGGAGAGACCAGAGAAAAAAAGATTACAGGGGGTGAGCAGTATCGCTCTTTTTTATTATCGTCTGCGGTGATTGAGCGAGGGTCTAATTATTGGAAGCTATCAATAGCATTGTTCTTATATCAATGATTTTTTTTTTTTTTAATGTTGAGGCACATAAAAATGCGTAATCAAAATTTTATACTGTATTTCTTGAAAAAGAGATTACCTTTTTAATTAATTTGTGAGAAAAATATAAGTAATTGTTTTAACGAATTAAAAAAATATATTCTGAGATTAATTTATATTTACTCTGATGTGATATTCAAAAATATTCATATTTATTATTTTCCTCTACTTTTAATGCGGCCTGGTGGCCAAGTGGCTAGCGCTCTGGCGTTTGGTATCCCAGGCTACAAGTTCGAATCCTGACGTTGGCATGGATGTTGGTGATGGCATGGAGGGTTTGTGATTCACATCAAACTGTAAGTCTTTGTCTAATTAGCGCAAAGTGTACACAAGATGAAACGTAGAGCGACAAACCAAACCTCTACTTTAATATTAGATTTAATTAAATATTAATAGCTACTTTAAATAACTCGTGGAAGATTGTATTTTTGATACAAGTTTCTTGAATATTATAACCTAAATGAAGGGAAAATTATACGTAGTAACTCAATTATTTAAAAAAACATCTTCGTTCCTTACAATTTTTTAGAGTATTTTACTTTTAAAAACAATCTAAAATTGATTCCAATCTAGATCAAAACATCAGCCATTCAGAAGTCTCATCTCATATCTGTTTTCTGATTGGTTGAAGTTTTGCGTTGTTTGATTTTAGTATCTGGACGCGCATTTCATGAAAATAATTCAGTAAATATAATTTAGAAATCATTCATTAATGCACCATTTTTTATTTACTTAATTTTTTTGCAGTAGCTAGATCTTGAAATTTTTCTATTTTTAAATAATCTTGTGGCATGGATGTTTGCGAGTGGTTCGAAATTCACTTTAAACTGTGGGTTTCGGTCTAATTAGCCCAGTGTGCACAAAATGACCGTAGAGTGGCAAACCTGAATTTTAACAAATGATCTTCGGTAGGAAATTTGCATTTAAACTTTATACTGACGTCTGTCTTTATCAAAAAATATGGAGGTCTGAAGAAAATAATTAATGTCGAAAAGAAAATCTAAATTTTCCGCCTTCTGTGAGAAAACACAGTTCACTCAGTTAATGTAGGAAAATGGTTCGTCGCTCTACGTTCATTTTATGCACACTTTGGGCTAATTAGACCAGGACCTATAGCTTAATGTGGATTCCGAACCATTCACAAACATCCCTGCCACCGCCAGGATTCGAACCTGAAGAAGCCTGTAGTACAAAGGCCAAAGCTCTTGCCAATTGACCGTCAGGCAGCGATATAAGTTTGGTTTGGTTTATTGCTCTACGTTCATCTTGTGCACACGAGGGCTAAACAGACCGGAAACTACAATTTAAAGTGGATTCCGAACCCTGACAAACATCCATGCCACCGACAAGAATCGAACCTGTCGTCTGTGGTATCAAAGGTCCCGCGATATAGGAAAATGACCAAAATATATTACTGTTCCTTTGATACTACAAAGTTGAAGAAGATTCAATAATCTATTTTTATGCAAACCTGTCTGCACTCAACAACACATAAAAAGAGACATCCCAATAAAACTTTTAGAATGCTCAGGTAAAAAAAAAAAAAGAACTTTTCTTGAAAAATGGAATGTGCCATCAATAAATCGTGTGTAGGGGCCACGATTCGGCAAACGATAGCTTCCTGCAGACACCTGCAATCGAAGCGTGGTGGCCAGAGGGGATTTATCGAACATCTCGGGGAGGGGGCACGGAACCGCGGGGTGTGATACAAAAACAACATCGCTACTGTATCAAAAAAAAAAAAAAAGAATAAAAAAAAAGCGAGGCGGGTCACTTGCAAGGGATGGGCCGCAGGTGCACGGAAAACGTTCTTCAATGAAAAGAATGCAATGTCCGGGGGATGGGGGTATCTTTGGAAGAGGGTGGGGATGGAACATTTGCGGGTAATTAGGAAATAAAGTCTTTGTTCTTGCTGAGAACCCACACGAGGTGGCTTGGTTCGGGTGAGGTTGCCAGATTCACAAAATGAAAAAAGAACGTTTTCAAATATGAATTTTATTTTAACACTTCGACTTGACTTGACTTTTGAGATTTATGCTGTTATCTCAATTTATTTACTCTTCAGAAGAAAAGAAAAAAAAAAAAAAAAGAAAAAAATAGTACTAAGAAAATTTTTAGATAATCAGTGGACTTCTCTAACACTTCGAAAAATAATGGTGAGGAAATTTATTTTGTTATTCGAGATTTACACT